CATCTTGTTGCTATGAGTAGCTCAATTAATTCCTTTAAGTTATCTTAGACTGTATAGTCCCATACCTACACAGCCCTCGTATCCCTCTCATTCTGGTGCGTCCGATTCATCCCTGTACCCCTACCCAGAAGCTCGTCAGGAGCCATCCATTGTCCATGCCTCTCGTACCGGCGATCACTCCTCGCCCTCCTACGGTATCCTGGGCTGTCACAAGCCCACCAGCTTCCGCCTGGTTCATCCTCGAACCATACCGTACTGGGAGAGAACAGGCTCTAATACCATTTGTAACGACCCGAGGCCGCTACGGAATGATAGAGTTGTCCCCACACACCAACACATGACCTTTTAGCGTGTTTTGTCCTCACTCGCACACATCCCGGAAAGTACTTCCCAGGAGGTCACCCATCCTAAGACTACTCCAGAGACAGCACGCTTAACTTTGGAGTTCTCTCGAGATGGGCAACTGAAAAGGTAGATACATCTTGTTGCTATGAGTAGCTCAATTAATTCCTTTAAGTTATCTTAGACTGTATAGTCCCATACCTACACAGCCCTCGTATCCCTCTCATTCTGGTGCGTCCGATTCATCCCTGTACCCCTACCCAGAAGCTCGTCAGGAGCCATCCATTGTCCATGCCTCTCGTACCGGCGATCACTCCTCGCCCTCCTACGGTATCCTGGGCTGTCACACCTAAACTATAAAACTTCTATATAAATACTTGAACTTTTAAAAATTTTATATAAATACCTAGACTTTTGAAAAATTTTCTAAATAAATACAAATTTCAGGTATTTTTCAAATAAAAATAGGTGATGTTATTAACGGATTTTGGATTTATTTGTGAGTTTTTCAGAAATTTAGGTATTTATTTAGGATTTTAGAAAATTTTAGATACTTATATAGAAATTTTTTAACTTTGGAGTTCTCTCGAGATGGGCAACTGAAAAGGTAGATGCATCTTGTTGCTATGAGTAGCTCAATTAATTCCTTTAAGTTATCTTAGACTGTATAGTCCCATACCTACACAGCCCTCAGATCCCTCTCATTTCGGTGCGTCTGATTCATCCCTATACCCCCTACCCAGAAGCTCGTCAGGAGCCGTCCATTGTTCATGCCTCTCGCACCGGCGATCACTCCCCGCCCTCCTACGGTATCCTGGGCTGTCACACCTAAACTATAAAACTTCTATATAAATACTTGAACTTTTAAAAATTTTATATAAATACCTAGACTAGATCCCTCTCATTTCGGTGCGTCTGATTCATCCCTATACCCCCTACCCAGAAGCTCGTCAGGAGCCGTCCATTGTTCATGCCTCTCGCACCGGCGATCACTCCCCGCCCTCCTACGGTATCCTGGGCTGTCACACCTAAACTATAAAACTTCTATATAAATACTTGAACTTTTAAAAATTTTATATAAATACCTAGACTTTTGAAAAATTTTCTAAATAAATACAAATTTCAGGTATTTTTCAAATAAAAATAGGTGATGTTATTAACGGATTTTGGATTTATTTGTGAGTTTTTCAGAAATTTAGGTATTTATTTAGGATTTTAGAAAATTTTAGATACTTATATAGAAATTTTATAGTTCGGTATTGATGACATCGATTTTTGGCGTTATTTTTCTATGGTTTTAGTTACATTTCACCTCTCTTTTCCGTACACATTTAGCACTTAGGCTGTATTTTATGTACGAATACCGTTTTCTTTACTCTTTGATATAATTTCAGGAATATTTACGTAATTGGACGAAAACGGAGCTAAAACGGTGTTTTCGGAGCTTAAATGGACCAAGTGAACTTGTCACGTGCGAGAAACGGACTTCGAAGTGGAAAGGAAGAATCTCGATGTTAAGAACATCGATATCGACGTTATATAACATCGATATCAACGTTCCTCAACGTCAATATCGACGTTTCCAGCCACCTCGAGATCAAATTTTCAGATTTTCCGATCTAGATGTTCCACAACATCGACATCGATGTTCGCATACCTCGAGATCTGAGCAGTTCAGATATCGACCTTCCACAACATCGACGTTCCTATACATCGAGATCTCCACATTTGGGAAGAATATCGATGTTGGACAACATCGATATCGATGTTTCCAACATCGATATTTCGAGATTTCTATAAAAATGACCGTATGGATCAGAGAGAGGGGTTCGTACATTTTCACATTTTTCAAAACTTTCATTTGTACTTCGGTTACTCAGCGTTTGGGGAACGAATTGGAGTGGAGATTGCTACATTTCATTGTTCAAGGATTGATTCTTTACACTATAAGTTTTCTACTCTTTTTTTTTCTATTGAAATATTGTATGAATCCATGTCTACTTTGCTTTCTCCCATAATGTGTGAGTAGTCTACTTGCTGTAGGCTAGGGAATCTAGCCATGTTACGGAATGATCAATGTGCTTAAACGATTGATGCATGTCTAGATTAGATCCGGTTTTATGAATTGAACGTAATGTTTTCTTAGGATTGATCACCCCATAGAACTAAACTTGGGTTAGTTAATTGCAAAGGAATTTGGATTAATTAATACCAGAATTCGTTTATAGGATAGGTTCAATTATTAATTTTAAACGCATAGGTGGGACTTGATAAGGAATTCTTAATTTGTCCTAGGAACAATGATAGCGGACGCTAATGCTTCTAATGTAGACCTAAAGATGTAGAAACTGATAGGAAAGCGTTAGTTAGAGAGCGATGATCTCTGACTCTGACGCGTTCTAGAATAGAGGCTAGAGTTTCCCGAATCGACCTTAGACTGCAAACCAATCCATATCTATTTAGATGTTCCGTAGCATCGGTGAACCCTCGAACCTACAATGCCTTTATTTATAGTTTTTTCCAACCAACCATCCAACTATTTTACTCTCGACCTTCGCTAGAATCACCATCGACACCATCATCCCTCGATCCCTGTGTTCGACCCTGGTACTACATCGAATCCATACTCTTGCGGAATCAGCTTAGTCTAAATATTTATTATTTGACCATCCACTCACCTAGATTGGCACGATCAGGTATTTATCTGGGATTTTTGTAAAAGATTAGGTATTTATATGCGATTTTCCCTAAACGATCTCGTGTTAAAATTAAAGCTTAACCCTATAAAATTTTGTTTGCGATCTCCACTTTTTTTTCTCTTTTTTTTTCTCACTTTTCTCTCATCGCTAGAGATTACACTCTACTCTCTTTTTCTTTAATCCGTTTGTCTTCTATTTTTTTTTTATCATTTCTCTCACACGTAGAAGTTCTCCAAAAAAAATTAAGTAAATCTAATATAGTACATTTCAAGATATTCAATCATAATCAAATAAAAAAAATTAAGAGCAGTAAAGGTAATGGTATGTAAGTGTTATAAGTTTTATTTTAAGTAATTTTTATTATTTTTTAGAAAAAACTCATATAAATATCCCAAATTTAAAAAAAATATACCTAAAATTTTAATTTGTTCTAATTGATAATTCAAATATTAAAATATTTCAAATTTATATCTCAAATATTAAAAATGTTCCAAATGTATATTCTAACTTACGAAATCGATGTCAATTATTAACTTCGACCCCAATAATGATGTATTAATTAGAGGATAATTTCCGACATAAAAAACGAATCGTAATTGTAAATTGCTCTTGATTTCGTGAGTTAATATATTAATTAGAATATTTTAACATTTTAGATATCAATTTAGAATAGTTTAGTACTTGTGATATCAATTAGATCAAATTGAAAAGTTTGTGTATTTATATGAGATTTTTTCTTTATTTTTTGTTCATTTATTCCTATGTTTTTATCGTACTTATAAATTTGATGTTCTATATATTTATTTAATATTGTGTTTGATTTGACAAAAAAAATGAATAAACTAATTTCTAAAAAAACAAAATTTATCGATATCTCAAGATAATGAACAAATTTCATCCAACAATGTTATGTATAGGTTAAGAACGAAGAATAATATAATTTAGTTGTATAATGTAAAAAATTTTGCAATAAAATATTTTTATTAGTTTTTTAAATTTTATACATACGTTAGTACTTTCGCTCAATTATAATTTTTTTATACGTGTGTGCGTGATTTATATGAAAATTAATGAACCCACATAATTTTTAAGAATACCCATTCGTACATATGAATACAAACATTTTTGGTATTCAAAAATAAAAGAAAAAAATGACGTTTTTTATGAATAAACTATTTAGTTTTTACAAAATCGGAAATTTTTATATGATGTTTATTAAAAAGATAAATTAATCAGCTGAGATTTTATTATATTCGAAAAAGTATATTTTGATAATCCGAGTAAAAATAATATCACTTATGATTATATACCTTAAAATTATATTTGGTTTACGTAAACTTCACCGTTTGTTATACTTCAGTGTTTTTTTTTGGTAAAATTGTTTCAAGTGGGTTCGAACTCGGGTGAGGAGACTGTCCCTTCTCACCTTACCATTCTGTCACCCCACGCTTGTCATCGGTGTGTTTTTAATATTAAGGGAGATTCACATATTAAATATTGAACTTTAACCAAATTTTCAAATTAAATACTCAACTATCTCATTTCCAAATTAAATATTCAATTATATTTAAACTGATAAATAAAACCAAAATTTTCAAATTTTAACATATATCTAAGGGATAATCCCAAAAAAACCATCTACTTTTTTTTTCGTCGCAATTTAAACCCTATACTTTTTGTTATCCAAAAAACCCTATACTTTTCAAAATTTTAAAAATTATACACATTCATATACACATATTAATTATTATAAGCACAAAATTAATTACACATTTATTTTCCACAAAAGTAATTACACATTTATTTTATATATTTATATGTATATATATGTTATATATATATATGTGTGATATATGTATTTTTTTCTAAAAATTATTATATATATAAAAAACTATTTTCTAAGAACATGTTGTTTTGGACAATTGAACATATAAAAACATGTTCTTCGAAAATAGTTTCTTATATATAAAACAATATACAAATAATAAATAGTTTTTTATATATATAATGATTTTTAGGAAAAAATACATATATATAAAACATATATATACATATAAATATATAAAATAAATGTGTAATTAATTTTGTGCTTATAATAATTAATATGTGTATATGAATGTGCATAATTTTTAAATTTTTGAAAAGTATAGGGTTTTTTGGATAAAAAAAGTATAGGGTTTAAATTGCGATGAAAAAAAGTACAGGTTTTTTTTTAGGATTATCCCTTAGATATATGTTAAAATTTGAAAAGTTTGGTTTTTATTTGTCAGTTTAAATATAGTTGAGTATTTAATTTGGAAATGAGATAATTGAGTATTTAATTTAAAAATTTGGTTAAAGTTCAATATTTAATATGTGAATCTCCCTAATAATTAATATGTGTATATGAATGTGTATAATTTTTAAAATTTTGAAAAGTATAGGGTTTTTGGATAAAAAAAGTATAAGGTTTAAATTGCGACAGAAAAAAAGTACAGGGTTTTTTTGGGATTATCCCTTAGATATATGTTAAAATTTGAAAAGTTTGGTTTTTATTTGTCAGTTTAAATATAGTTGAGTATTTAATTTGGACATGAGATAGTTGATTATTTAATTTGAAAATTTGGTTAAAGTTCAATATTTAATATGTGAATCTCCCTAATATTAAAAGTATAAGCATTTTCTTTGTTAAAAAAAAATGTCGAGAAGAAAACAATTTTGGGAATCAAGATATTGTTCCACAAGTAACAATTACTTTTATGATATGAATCGAGTTTCTCCTAAAATTACATAGAACCAATGTTTTTAGATTTTGTTTCTATTTTCCATGCATTGAAACCATGACGTCAAGATACGAATGTAAATAATTTTAACAGAAAATGTCAATAACAAACAATAGCGAAAAACTAAAACACTTAATCGATATACAACGGAAAAAAAAATACTAACCTTGTTGGCAGTAGTTCGCATAAACAGCGTTGTTCACAACACCAAACTGATCGACTTCATAATCTCGAACTTTGAGTACAATCTCATAGAAATCACTCATTTTGCCATTGGAGTTTGAATCATATAGCGACTGCTCTCTGAAACACAATTTGAAAACACATATAAAAGTGAAGATCAAAGTATATATATAATCCAAATTTGGGTAGTATAAGTGAAACGGGACGCAAAACGTCTGTCCCATCATGAGTTCGAACTTTAAGTTTGGAAAGAAAACGTATAATCCAAATCACATGATTGATTTACGACCCAAGGATTAGCCTATGCTTTGGTTTAGGATACTCGGTTACCCAAAAAACAAGTATATATATATGTATCTGTATGTATGTATATGGTGAAGTAGAAATGCTACCCTTTGCCTCCTCTACGTCGACCAATAGAAGCGAGAGGCTTCACCCTCCGGAGAAGAGTAGGTGGTCGCCGAAAAAATGGATAGACTGGCGGTGGGGAGAGGAGTGAAGGTGGAGGCGCCGTGCATTGCGGAGGAGGACCAGTTGCGTGCAGCATTCCTATTCTTTTCTTTGATGTGAATGCCCTAATTAAGAACTTGTTTGTGTTCCTTTGGTTGTGTATTGTGGGGTTTAAATAGAAGGGTTTCCTTGGGCTTCTGTTGTTCCATTGCACGAAGAAAGTGATAACTTAATTTATCTTGTTATGTAAAATTGTTTCTCATTTTTGACGTGTAATAAACTATTACAACTGAAATATGAAACTATTACAACTGAATTTATCTGAATTTATCTGAAATATGAATCGCTTTCGGTTTTTATTAAAAAAATTTAGATTGTCTTAAAAAAGTTTTGGTTTTTCAGAAATTTTATAAAGTTCGGTTCCATTTTGAAAAATTTAGTTCTACAAAAAACATACCGTTCGAAAAATTTTGAATGGTATGGTTTATAAAAAATAACAAAATTCCACCGATTACAACTACACGTAATATTATTTTTTCATGAAAAATAATAATACCAAAACAATTCTCAAAAAAGTTTTGTATTCATATTTGCCGACGTTTCAAGACTTTCACAATCGAAATAACATCACAAAAAACGTGAACATAATTAATTCCATATGATGATATCACATATCATAGAAGCTTCTGAGTTTAATTCTCTTACCCAGAAAGTCCACCGATTGCCTAATCCTTTCTCAATAGAGGACATTTCGATAGGGGTGGATATGGAACGGGTACCCTAAGTTTTTGGAGTATTCGGACTTCGTCTTCGTCTTCGCGGGTTTTAAGAAAACACTATCTCATTTTCGTTTTCATAAAGTTCGGGTACCCCAAGAACTCAGGGTACCGCTGAATTTGATTATCCGAGGGTATCCGGACCCGTCTAATTCCTTAAAAAATGTTGATTATTGTTGACTTTAAGGATATTTTAGTAATTTAATATAAACATATTTTAATAATTATTATAAATCTATTAAAATATCAGGGATATAATCGTCATTTTGTTCGTATCCGGATATCTGAGGGTATCCGTCGCCGTTCAAACAAAATCCGGACTCGAACACGCAATCCAGATTTTTGGCTTCATCAAATCCGTTTTCGTCTTCGTTACATAGAAGGTACCCGTGTTCCAAGTACCTGTGAGATCGGGTACCCGAAAACCCACATATTTCAAGTACCCACGTCCACCCCTACCTTTCAGGAGATTATAAACACGGCAATGTATTAAAATAAAAATAAAGATACAAATATTAAAATAAATTTAAAATTATTAAAATAATAATTAAAAAATAATTAATATATTTAAAATAATAAAAATATTTAAAATTGATAAAAAAAAATTAAAATAATTAAAAAAATAAAAATAATTTTTTTTCTAGTTAGGAGTAAGTTCGGCTCGTAACGAGTTGATTCATTCGGTCTATTTTTTTTCGAACTCAAATTTTTTAGTCTAGATCGAAAAAACATAGATTGGCTCACGAGGTACCTCGCGATACGAGTTCATTTTAACATTCCTAATGTGTGACAGTTGTATGATTTTCTTTGTTACGATAGTATCCTATAGGGGTGGGCACGTATCAGATATCCATGATTTTTGAGATATCCGTATCCGTATCCGATCCGCACAAATACTCGATTTTATTATCCGTATCCGATCCGTAATTTACGGATATCCAAAATTTCGGATATCCGTAAATATCGCGGATATTTACGAATATCCGTATCCGACATAAAATTTATAAAAATTAAATTCAAATTGAAATAACAATTTTAAATATAAAAAAAATATATAAATTATTTAATATAAATGTTATTCACAATTTAAATTCATTTCATAATTTAAATATTTTAAATCAATTCAATTACAAATATAATCATAATCTATTGTATACAAATATATTGAAAGTTCAAAATTCAAAAATTAAACATAATAAAATTTAATATTCAAAAGATTAAATATTCTAAATCTCAATATATACAAAATATTTCTTGAATATATATATAAAATATGTAAGTATAAAGTATTTTAAATTTTTATAGCAAATTATTTTTATATTTAATAATATTATTAATTAGTACGGATCTGATCGGATCGGATATGTCGGATAATTCGAATTTGATATCCGTATCCGATCCGTATCCGACAAATATTTCAAAATAAATATCCGTATCCGATCCGTAAACTCCGGATATCCGAATTTTCGATTCAGATACGGATCGGATAACGGATCGGTTCGATTTTTTCGAATATTATGTCTATGCCTAGTCTAAATGATAGATGGAAAACTAATAAAGTGGTCAATAAACACCAAGATGGTTGCATTTCCATTACCTACACGTGGGAAAAAAAATATGATAGACTAAAAAAATCTCAATCTATAAATAAATATGTATATATATATATATATATGAAAAATAATTTTATGAATATTAGTTTAAAATATATATATACCTGGTCAATAATTAAAAGCTTTGAAGGGGTTCAATGATCGACCATAACAAGGAAGCTAAAGGCCATTAAATCGATTATTTTTCAATGGGTGCCTAACCTACCCTCTGATCTAATCTTCACCCACCCATAATAATAATAATAATAATAATAATAATAATAATAATAATAATAATAATAATAATAATATTCAATCTATAATACACATAGTTGGTTCCATTTGAATTTTATTGTAACCAAGGTTTTTTATTGGATCAATATTTAAGGAATAAATAAATTTCTTTGATTTAACTTTTTTTTTTCTAAAATCCATATAGTCCATTTAAAACTTGAAAACACGTAAAGGTGCAAGAGGAATTTCATTGGCTTGGCCATTGCGACTACATCATCACAGTTGGTAAAAACAAATGTCAGCATGCAAGAAGATGAATATTGCGCAAGATGAAACAAATAAAAGTTGAATATTCGACAAAAACAATGGAGACAGCTGCAAAAGACTATATAAAGAGGAGCAATCTCAACCGAAGAGTTTGGCGAGACTTGTGCTAAAGAAAGAGTAGAGAGTAAAATTGGTGAGATATATATACATATATATATATATATATAGAAAACACGGGTGAGAGTCACTTGTAAGCGCGTGAGTTGTATTTGAAGGAAATATTCAAATAACAGACAAACCGTTCAAAAAACCTAAAAATATTTAGGATTATATAGGATATGCGCGACACACAAAATGTCTATACTGATGGAATATCTTGTGGTATGAGTTTTATCCCGGGGAGTGAAATAGGGAGAGTTGAATGCTAAGTGAAAGAAATTGAAAGTCTATTTAACTTGTACCAAAGAAATAGAATCAGTTTTATTGCCGTGTGAGTATATATTTTTACACCTTTACTACAAAGGGTTTTACATTGGTAAGGAATATGAGTTGGTTGATGCGAGATCTTGAAATATATATAATTACATCTCGATCTCACAAGACCGAGATCGGATAGTCCAATCGAAAATCCAAAAGAATGAAACCAAAAGTCGGGTATGTCGGAAAACTCGAATGACCGACCTGCGTTCCACCCTCAATCCACGACATGGAAGGCTTTTAGTTTAACAAGTATGGTCTAACATCAAAACTTTGAACGTTTTTCATTTAAATTCTCAATAGAAATTATAATACTCCATGTATTAAAGATTGTAAACGAACCATCACAACAATACGTGCATCTACGGTTTTCTTTATACTGTATTAAGATTCCGTAACGGCTATGTATACGACCGACTTCATCACGTAAATATGTCATGAATCATTTTTTAAAGCCTCTCTCACTTAAATACGTGCATTCAGTGAGATTACCGAATCCGACATATTTTCCCTTACACACCCAAATTCATTTCCTAAACCAAAAAGATCATTTCCTAAATATGACTTCTATTCACTGAATTTATGGATTCTTTGTTAACTGAATCTATGGATTCTTTCCCTTTCCTGTTTCATCATCTATCAAAACGTATACTTTGAAAACAAAACAAATAAGAACCCGAATATCTGATACCTAATTCTATCCACCAAAATAGATTTCAAGAACTGAAAATGGCTAACCATAGAGTGTTCTGTGCAGTGATCATCTCTGCTTGGCTTCTTCATATGGCGCCGATCATCGACGCCTGGGGAAAAGAGGGTCACACCATCATCTGCAAAATCGCTCAGGTATCTGAAAATAGATTTCAATACGCATTTCCTATGTCTTCATCCATCTGTTTCAATACCGTTGTTGGGTTTATAGACAACTAAGTTTATAATAACAATAAGGAGAAGGGATTTGTCAAAACAGGCCAGATTAAGTGACACTGCAGCAAGTGCAGTGAAGGAACTTTTACCTAAGTCTGCAGAAGGAGATCTGTCAAGCTTTTGTCTTTGGGCAGACAAAATCAAGTTCAGATACCGCTGGTCTTCACCTCTTCATTACCTCAATACTCCTGATTCCTGTTCTTACAAATACAGTAGTAAGATTAATGTGAAATACTCGAAAAATATTCGAATAAATAGTGAAAAAAAATTCCCAGGTTCTTATTATGTGTTTCATTCTGGTTTTTTGGGGAAGGGGACTGTAAGGATGAAGATGGAGAGAGAGGAAGATGCGTTGCAGGGGCTATCAACAATTACACAACACAGCTCCTTAGCTACAATGCTGAATCTTCATCTAAATCAGAATGTAAATATAGTCTTTTGTCTCTCCCCACCTTTTTTTTTTCATGAATTTCCCTCTTTTTCTTCTTCTTTTTCTTCCTCTCTTTCGATGTCAAGTTTTTTTCTTGTCTCCTATATTTTGTCATCAGACAACTTAACAGAGTCACTGCTCTTCCTGTCCCATTTCATGGGAGACATCCATCAGGTATAGTTATGAAAAGAGCATTTGGCCTTTAACCTCGGAACGTGTAAATATGTATGTATAAGCATAGTTGTGAATTGCAGCCTCTGCATACGGCATTTGCTTCAGACAAAGGAGGAAACACCATTGATGTTCACTGGTATCGGAGAAAAGAAAGCCTTCACCATGTAAGAAAAAAGTTAAATACCAAATGCATACGCAGAACATCAATCAATACGCGTTATACACTGATTGAGTGTGCTGGAATCATACAGATTTGGGATGTCAACATTATCGAGACAGCTGAAGAAAATTTATACGATTCAAACGTAGAAGAAATGATCGATGCAATTCAAAAGAATATCACGGTATTTATGCATCATGTTATCCTAGGTTCTAAACATGTCTGCTATCACACTCTCTAACTAGTTGATCAATGAAAATTGCAGACAGAATGGGCAAATCAAGTCAAGAGATGGGAGCGCTGCTCAAAGAAGACAGCATGTCCAGACATGTAAGTTGAAATCAGAGAAATGTGTTACCTATGAATAGAAGTGATTGTTCACCAACTCAGCAAGAAAATTATCTTTACCGTTCACTTGTTCTTTGCTGCAACTTCATGCAGCTATGCATCTGAAGGCATTAAAGCAGCCTGTGACTGGGCATACAAAGGTGTGACTGAGGGAGAAACACTAGAAGGTAAGCTAGCAACCCAATCAGTAATGTGATGAATCGTATTTGTCCCCCTTGTTTTTTCTTTAATAGACATGAAAAAATCATCTAACAAACAGACAATGTTTCATTCACAGATGAATACTTCTACTCACGCCTTCCAATTGTCAATCTGCGCTTAGCTCAGGCAGCGGTGAGACTGGCAGCTACGTTGAACAGGATTTTCGGTTAACACAAAATCCGTAAGAACCTATTTGTTCTTGATCCTTGTATGCACAAACGCAGAACCCACATTTATGAAATAAAAAGTTATTATCACCATCAAATTCATGCCTGCATTACAGAGTGAAAATCAAAACACCAGAGCAAAACAAAATCCCAACTGAACAAACAAATTAATATCGCGACCACTCCCACAAAGTACAAGTATCATAAAGTACTAAACATATTAAGCATTTTCACTTTACGATAGAGAAAGATACACACACATAGCGATGCCTGGCATTGTAGATCTGGCAAGAGCCAATTTCCTCAGGCTGGGTTCCTCACAACAAGAACTGGGCACTTTGCATTGTTCACACAGTAATTACTGACACTTCCTAGAAAAGTCCTGTTCAGCATAAAGATCAAGTGTTATTTTTGAGAATTGAACGTTAAACACCCAACGTTTCACAACATTACATACCTCTGTATTGCCCCACGTCCATGGCTTCCAACTACAAGCAAATCGATACCAAGCTTCTCCACAGCTTCACATATCTGCTCTTTGGGATTTCCGGTTTCCATTACTGTCCGTGGAGTAACCTGACACCACCAAACTTAACTATGAAATGCAAGACCCAACAAGAAAAATATATCCCAAGCATGAATTCTCGACTTTAAATGCCAGATACATCATGTAACCCACTACTGTCCCAACTCTTATTGACAGATACATTGGAAACTTATCATATCAGAATAAGAAGCTAGCAGATTACACAAAAAATGAAGGAGACAAGCGCATACCCCGTGCTCGGCACATATTTTTTTCCCTTCTTCCAGTCGATTCAATCCAGCGTTCTTATGATTCTCTTGCATTGAGTTTATCAGCTCTATCGCTGCAACAACGCAGGAAAAAAACGCAAAGTTACTTTCGAGAAACCTTTACAGTTTCGAATTTTCAATATTCAAAGAACAACGGATTTTAATCACTGGAATTCGTATCCCAAGGGCTGAATATTAATCGAATCGATTCCTTCGATGTCAATGCCCATGAAACCAATCAGGTAACAAAAAGAATCAGAACAAAGAAGATCAAGAAGACGGTACTGACGAGCGGCGCCATAGGAGGAAGCATAGACATAGCTGAGCTCGAGGGGAGGTTGAGCAGTGAAGACGATGATCTCGGAATCCAAAATGGAATCCTTGAGATACTCGAGAGTCCATGAGAGAGCGCGTTTGCTGCAATCGCTCTCGTCAATCGCCACCATGACTTTCTTCATCTTCTTCGTCAAGCCTTTTTCTTCTTCCATGTTTTTTTTTTTTTTGGATTTGATCTCTAAAGGAAGAAACACGTCGTGATAAGAGCGCGTGACGTGTCATTTTACGTGGAACCCACCAGCTTCTACAAGAATTATAGGCCCGGTCCATGGCCCGGTTTAATGGCCCTCCTCCCAATCATGCGGTTCGATCTAACCCGTTTTAGATAATTTGAGATTAAAATAAAAATAAAATTACGACATAATTTAAAATTTTATACAATCATGCGTTTCGATCTATGGTCAATCGGTAAAATGTTCCAAAAAATAGGATGTTTTTGTAAAGTATTTAAAAAAACCTGTGATATTTATAAAATATTTTTTTTTCCCAATTTTGTCTTTGAACAATGAAAGGTCATATCAACAAAAACGTCTGTCAACCCCATTTAATTCTTTCTCTAAAAAACAAAATTCAAAACCTTTTTTCATGAAATAGCTTTGAGAAGACGATTTTTAGGGCCAAAGTTACGAATTTTCGTGATTTCATTGCATTTTGTTGATTACCTATAAAGGTATGTTTCTTGTTATTTACTTATGTAAATTTGACAAGTAGTTCTATTGGATGTATTACACCTCGATGGATGGCGGTATTACTGACTCTCTTTTTCAGAAGTTTCGGATGTCTTCAACCTAGAAAAAAACTTTTTTTGAGTGGACAAGAATCTGGTCTTCGGAAAAATATGAATGATGTGTAAATTTAGAACTTGAGTGAAAGAGTGAGGAGTAATATGAGTGATGAGGAATGTGATGCATTGAAGCTATTGTATTTGGATTCTTACTCATATTATTTTACAACAGATTCAATGTATCAAAGATTGTCCACTACATGATGGCTCGACAGATTATAACAAAAAAGAAGTACGAGCTGTGGTTTATGCTTGACAGTCAATCTGTTATATTTTCTCTGGTAGAGTTTAGGAAAATGACTAGAATGTTGTGCCACAAGGATTTGGAGAGCAGAATAACAAAGGGTGAGGACCAAGATCGTTTTGCTGAATTTACCAAAAAGAATGTGTCGTTGACAGATTTAAATAGAAATACTCCATCAATACAAAGATAGTTGGAATGTGGATGATTACAGAAATGATTACACTATTTGATGTTTACTGTTGGGATATTACTACCGAAGAAGAGAAAGAAAATTAAGAAAAATTATCTCTAGTTGATCAACAACTTGGTCGAGTTTGAAGTATTGAACTATGGTAGGAAGTCATTTTTGTAATTGGTGCAGCCAATAAACGAAGGTATGATTACACATATGACCAAAAACTATTGCAAGGTCCATGGATTTACCATCGACCTCTAACTCTAGGCCATGGATACTATCTGATAATTTAGGGGTTTGTGTTCACAGATTGAACTTGCATTGGAACCACGTTGCGGTAAATGGATAATTATGCAAAGATGACTGTCAACAATATTGTCAGGGAAGTAGAAAGATTAGGATCTAAACACAATAGAAATTAAATTCATAATTTATTAATCCTAGAATAGGAAAACACTAAGCACCATACACATATGAAATAATAAACAAAACGAATAATAAAAATATCAAAGAGAGATACTAACCTTAAACGACAAGACCAGACCAAATGGTAGTGACAGAACACCACTGAAAGACGTCCAAAAGGCAACACTCTCTACGGCATCCACACCGCGGATTGGATCCAACAATTGGATCCGGTCTACTAGGATAAAAAATCAGTCGCTAGTATGGAGAGGTTCTTGAGAGCTTATGATCATATTAGACTTCTTATAAAGCTCTCTAAATCTTCTATAGGACTTAGGATTTGGTATGTTTGAAGTTTTTGGCCAAACTCCCCTGATACTGAGTTTCAAACCCTTGAAAATGGGTAAATTTTTTTATGAAGGATTTTTGTTCGGTTACTATTTACGGTTACCATTCACGGTCACTTTTCACAGTCACTATCCACCATTCGATCGAATTCCCCACACAGTTTCATGTTTTGATTGAATTATACTAATTCGATCAAGTTCGACCAAACTCGGACGAGTTACACTCACTCAACCGAGTTTAACAAATATTTTATTTCAGACTTCGTTTTTATACTTCTTCATGTTCCAACTCTTTGTGTGTGACCCTGTACATTCATTCAATGTGGTCGTAACCTCGAAATACCATTTCGACTCATAGATTGTAGATGGTCTTTAGCAAGACATTACAACCCCCACATTGATAGAGTTAATGATAAACTAACAGAGCATTGATAATTCTAACTATATTCCTTTTGAGACATGATATCATAGATCGAACATTATGCATGGAGCCAAACTACCTTATCAAGTTCGATTGCTTTCTCGTCCATGAGATAACTGAACATAATAAATGCCATTCATCTAAGCGCGGCCACACATTTTGATCGATCCGTTCTAGGTGAATGGTTTGGTTAAGTAATAAATTACCTAGACTCCACAAGGGTACAAATCGATTATAATACCAAGGTCGAACTCAGGGACTGAGTGGTGGGCGTCATCCTAATCCTAGCTGAGGTGAGAATTGATTGATTGGTTGGTCGAAGATCGTTGAGAAAATTATAACTTTTTGCACTGTAGGTTTGGGGTTTCACCAATGCTATGATTTGTATCTAAGGATCTAGATTGAATTGCAGTTTGGTTTCGATTCGGAAAACTCTAGCTTCTAATCTCGAATGCGTACGGGTCATGGATCATCATTATCTAACTAGCATTTTCCTATTAGCTTCCGCATCTCTAGGTCCACACTAGAAGCATTAATGTTCACTTTCATTGTTTCTAGATCGAATTACTAATTCCTTATCAAGTCCATCCTATGAGTTCAAAATTAATAATTGAATCTATCTTATGAATGAATTCCGGTTTAACTATTCCAAATCCGTTTACAAATAACTAAACCAAATCAATTCATATAGGTGATCAATCTGATGAAAGCATTAAGTTCAATCCATAAAACTGACTCTAACCAAAACATAAAATAATCATATTAAAAACAATGAGAAATTCATAACATGGCTAGAATCTCTAATTTACAACAAGTGAACTACTCACAATCAAAGGGAAAAAACGAAACTAGTACAAATTCATACAATATTTCAAGAGAAAAAGAAAAAGAAGACTTATAGAATGAAGAATCAATCTCTAGACTCTCAAATGTAGCAATTCTCTAGCCTCAAATGCTATCCAAATGTCGAAAATGTAAAGAGAAATCGAAAATGTGTGTATCTATCTCGAAATGCACGAACCCCAAACTCGTCCATACGCTTCTCTTTTTATACATTTGGCAAAAATATCGATGTTGTCCAACAAGGATATTCAAGATGGCATGTTGAATCTCAAGAAGGATGGAACGTCAATATCGATATTTGTGTTTTCTAGATCTCAAGCTGTTCTGGATGTCGATATAGAGGTTAGAACAACCTCGATATCGACGTTCTTCCAACATCGATCTCGAGGTTTGAACCTTGATATTTTGTTCCTCTTCATCCTTTGCTCGCGATTCATTTGTTTCTCGCTTGTGAACCGTTCGTGACTGCCCGTGACTCGTCTATGATTCCAACTTGGCACAAATAGGCTCCGTGAACGCCGTTTTCGCTCTTTTTTTTGGTCCAATTAAGCAAATAATCCTGAAATCATATCAAAGAGTAAACAAAACAGTATACCTACCTAAAATATCGTCTAATGTCTAGAATCGCACGGAAAGTAGGGTGAAATACAATTAAAACAATAGGAAAATATCATTCAAAACCGATGTTATCACATTCTACAGTTCATCTCACTCGAGGGGCCCAACGTTATCTCTCTACTAATGACAGGGTCGAAATCCCTTCCGTCTATCTATTATTCTCCACATGTCTCACAAAGTACCCGAGCACAGTTGTTATAGTTATCATGTTATGGATAACGTTTGACTGAGTCAGTACATTACTCCTCATGTCAGATACTATAGATACCTTCGGTTTAAGGATCTAATAGCGAACCATCACATGAGATTCAAGTCATGACTTTGGTCCATGTGATAATCTCATGCGGATCATTCAGTCACTTGTTTCAAGCAAATACCTATGGTCGTAATCTGTATTCAATACACATGATCATCCTAATGATCATCTATCACGTCTCTGTTAGTCTTAACTCATCATCATTCCCATGATGAGATCGACTAGGGAATTTAGAATTATTTCAATAAATAATTCATGAATTTCATCATATAACAAATTATACAAATTGTATAATGAAAGATGATATTCATTCCAGAAACGAAATCATTACAAAGTCTCATATACAAGACTAACTAGAGCATTATAATCTTCAGTCTCCCACTTGCTCTAAATTAATCTACCAAACACCTAATGCCCATATATATTCTACACATGACCCTCATGCTTCGACGAAGGAAGTGGCTCACTACTAGAAAACACCGAAAAAGTGACGCAAAATGTGACACAAAATTTGTGTCATTACAATGGTGATGCAAATAGTGATGCAATATTTTCATAACTAATGTGTCACTAAATACGAGTATTTATATATAAATATAAATTTTATATACACGTATATATTATATATATGTGTATTTAGATGTATAAATATACTGATATATATATAAAACGTATATTTTATGTATATGTATATATTATGTATATATATGTATTTGTATATACAAATATACGAGTATTTTATATATAAATGTATATTTTATATATACATATATATTATATATTTATACATATCATGATATATACGAATATATATATAATCGTGTATTTATATATATATGTATGTATTTATACATACAAATATATGTTATATATATAAATATATATTTTATGTATGTGTATATATGTACAACATATACGTATATATATTTGTAAGTATAAATATTTGTATATGTATATGTATTAATATTGTAATGTATCAGAAGTTTAACTTGGAACAGTTGGTTGCTTATCAATTGAAACTCTAAAGTTAAGCGTGCTTGAGTTGAAGTGGTGGAAGGATGGGTGACCTCTTGGGAA